TAAATTCAATTTTTTATTTTGTATCCTCAATCCGCCCCCCCCCCCCAGACATTGGCAATATTCATATTGTAAAATGATATGTTAGGAAGTAAGCCCATAAATATGATACGTGATGGACGTCCTGTTATAATTTTATAGATACCAACATCGCTTAAATTATCAAATTCTTCAAATATTTCCCTATACACTTTATTTTTCGTGTAAGGATACAGATCCTTTGCCATCTTCACAGTAGCTGCGCTATTATTTCGAGTTTTATCGGGAGCAATGTTAAATATCTTCTTTCAGTTCATATCCAGATCAACATTGGTAGCAACTTCTATTGGTTTGATATCAAAAACACCATAAGCGATGATCCAGTTTTTTGTCCGATTTGCTGGATATGTATTGAGATCAATACCCGCTTGGGGTATATTAACATAAAGATGCAGACTGTAAAGCAGATTTGATACAGTTTTTTGAAAGTTTACAATTATTTTGATATAGTACATGTACGCAACACGCCCACTATTATATGTGTACCAGTGAGAAAATGTTTGTACCGTAAAACCAGCAATTAATATTCCTTGCGATGTGGTTTTATCAATTGTAGCAACTGATTTGTGCCATAATTGGTAATCTGAATTGAGGATTTCAGTACAGAGAGTATAGTCTTTATTCCTATCAAGTTGATAACAATTGATTCCCATTTTATACGAATAGCCGCCTTGCTGATCCTTTATAATAGTTGTGAATAGAACTTTGTGGTTGTATTGATGGTAGGTACCCTCTTGGGGCATTAAATTATCAATTTTAGTAATGTCAAAACTATCCGCCTGAAGATCAGTCCGTCTTAATTTATTAGTCATCAAGTATTTGAATTCATTGTTGTAATGGCTGGGTTTAACGTGAGATTTTTCCAAATACTGCTTATTAATAGCATCTTTATCCGACTGGGGGTCGGCTAGATTGGTTATTTTATTGTTTACCATATTCAAATCACCAGTCATAGAAGTATATCCGTTTTTCTCTAGTCGCAACTTCATAAGAATACTTATGCTCACTTTGTATTATACCATCTAAATTAGCATTGTTAACGTGAAATTGGTTATGGACGATTCTAGACCCAGGTATGGTATATTTATTGAAGAATTCAAAATCCACCGTATCTCCATTTGCTGTTGCCATTGGTTAATTTTCTTTTTTATTATTGGACATACTTAGTGGTCCTACTATAACTCCACTGGATTTATCCAGGAATTTATTTTCTGACCAAATTTTTGTAGCTGGTTGATTATCACCATTTGGTTGTGCCACATTGTATATCCTACTGCTATTTATATCCAAATTGGCGATCATTAATCCACCAGATAGTGATAATTTAGTATCAAGTTGATTTTTTGTTACGGCATCACTAGAAGCAGTTCCTTTAGCCATATTTGTCAGTTTTTTGTTTGTAATATCATAATTCCCATCTGCTGTGTGATTCAAAACAACGCCCGTTGCACCATGAGGGCCAGTGGAACCACGAGGGCCAGCAGGGCCAGTTGGTCCAGGAATATCCTGAGCACCAGCGGGACCAGCCGGGCCAGTAATACCACGTTTTCCTGGCGATTGATTATAATTAGGTTGCTGATTCCCATTTTATATTAGATATTTCCATGAAAGTTTCTTTTGACTGTTTTCATAGGCTTATCAACATACAGGAATGAGTATGGTTGTTTTGTGGCTTTAATATACTGGTCCTTTGTTACATTCAACTCTCTAGAAATCATATTTCTTTCATTACTGCATGGGAAATCATAAATAACATAATGACTGCTGTTTAATCTGATATCTTTTGGAGTTTTGTAAAATGATTGTGAAAGGTAAATAACACTTACATAACATAACATAAAACTTTATTTAAACTCGAATTTTAGAGTAGCTAACAAGCTAATATCTTCGAGCTGACACTACATAAAAACTATATAGAAAATATATATATACATTAAATGCAAGGAAAGAAAATATCATTTACAATTCACAATTTCAAGTTTAAGTATGTCAGGCAAAAAGAATCTACATGAAGGTAACATCCTGTATTTTAGTCTTAAAGTCTGCAAAAAAACTGGTACTTCTTGTGTCGCCCTTGAATGAAATAATCAATTAGCGGTTTTTGATTTTTATCGCAAATGAAATCGTCGAATATTACAATTTTCTGAGAATCACTTTCCAGACTATTGACGGGTTTAACGTCATCATTATTGTAATGCATTATGTCGTATCCAACCTGGCCACTAATATTATTCATTGTTTCTATCATGTTTCTGTATTTTTCCTGTTCCAGAATTTTACCGTATAAATGGATCTGGTCGTAGTAGACTAATGGTTTCATAAGGATGTGATAAAGCAGATTTGTTTTACCTGAACCTGAATTTCCACAGATCAGCATCCTGAAATTGGATTTGGGCATGTACTTGTAAAGTTGTTTGAAGTTTGTATTTTCATCTTCATTGAAATCATAATTTGGAATCTCCATATACTGTTATGTTAGATAATTTAAGATAAGTTAAGATAAGTTTTATATAATGTACTGTTATAATGGATATTGAAAGATTCAAGAGACTCAGTATCCCTAAAATTGAAGCAGGAAAAATGACTGAAGTTGTTAGGGATGTTATAAAAGAAGTTCGAACTAATGAACAGGATGCATACGAAAAGGTTGCTAAGGACCTGAAACCTCTAACCGAAAAGACTGATAAGGAGATAGAGGAGGTCAGTAAATTGAGAGAAGATGTTTCAAAACAAGTTGTCCCATACGCTTAGCAAGTTCAAAAATTAGCATTACCAGGTCCAAGCGTTGAGGCAGCCAAAATGGTAGCTGATATGAATAAAGGATTCACTCAAGAAGAATTGGCATTCATCCAAAGCAAGCAATTGCCATTACCAGCTGACATTTTTTTGCGAACCTTAAAAGAGCCAGATTATGCAAAACAAATATGAGATGTATCTGGTGAAATAAATAAAGGACAACAAAAACTGCCAGAAAGAAAAATAAGGATGAAATTACTACATATGATGAAGGAATCGAAACCAGAAGGAAATACCGACAAAGAATTGGCATTTTAGACGAAGGAACAAAAACGTTAAAAGGGGGAAAGGGTATTTACACACAAAAAACGAGGAACACTTATAAGATTCACCCACAAACTGGTGTTTATGGAAATGTAAATATTGATGTGCCCAAACTTTATGGACAACTCAAACTAATTGCTCATAAGGATGGTAAAAACGTCTATGAAAAACAAGTAGACTTTGATACACTTGATCTGCTCACGAAGAGGTTCAACAATGAAAAGAAATATTCACCATTATCAAAAATGGTATTTGATGAATTAAACAGAATAAGCGATATTCCAATTCACCGAACCAGTAATAAGTATAAAAAAATCGGCTCGGGTGTTGTTTATTATAATAATCCAGCTGACCTACTGGACAGATTGGAATTGTTAGGTGGATCCATATTGGCTGGAAATAATGGTGTTCAAAATGAATTTTCGAAAATTGCTCACACACTAAACAAATTAGGTGTTCTAAATAACAACCAGCTTAATAATCTGTTGAAAGAATATACAATCTAATAATATAATACAAGAAAGAGCTATCCATATTTCATCTGTTGATAGACAGAAAATCGGGAAAAATAAAGCAGAGGATTTTATAATCAAATTCGATCCAGTTTTAAAACTCCATAATGGCATGACGCGTGAATTGGCATTGGATAAGGTTACTATGACTTACAGTTGGCACAACATTTCAGAACAGTACAAAAATAAGACAATAAAATACTCACCCGATGGAGGGACATCGTGGGAAACAGTTAACTTTATCGATGGGATGTATACTTATTCAGACCTACATGATTATCTTCATCAGTACATGAAAAAGAAGGGACATTTTACTACTAATGAAAAAAAAGGATGAGGTGTATTACATTAACCTAACATTCGTACTGTCAACACACAAGATTCTCATTCAGATTGTCAACAATTACCAATTGGATCTCTGAAATAGTAAATTTGGTGTGTTAATTGGTTTTATAGAGAAACTTGTGACAAAAACAGAATATGGGGGTGGCGAACTTCCCAATATCACAAATTCCATAGACGTGATTTATATTAACACAGATGCCATTACAAACAGCATTTTGAACGGCGTTAACACCAATACGCTAGCTGTTATTCAAACTGATAATTTGACAAGAAGGTTTCCATTTACTTTTGAACCCAGATGACTATTGTTTAGTGAAGTTTCGCAACTAAATATCAGTCAAATGAGATTTTATATCACAGATTCACTAGGACGACCAATTGGTCTAAATAAGATCGACTGGTTTATGACCTTAATATTGTGATCTAACCAGAATAATATAACCTAATAATATACATGAAACAATCAGAATTCAAGAGACGTTATGATGTTAAAATGGGTAGATATGTTAAGAAGCATATTTATGGAGGAGGTGTTACCGATGTTTTCAAAACTATTGGTAGAAAGTTGTTTGGAAAGACGGTAAAAGAATCTGCTAAAACAGCAACCAAAAAAGCTGTTAAGACTGCTGCTACTAAGACAGGCGAATATGCTGGCGAAAAAGCAGGCGATAAAATTATTCAGTATTTAAGCAAACAGAATAAAAACACAAAAACACCGGCATCACTAATAGAAAATCCACAAACAAGAGAATTAAGCGATTATGAGATCAATGAACGGGTAAGTCAATTATTATCTGAAGGCCGGATGAGAAAATTTATGTAATCTATCAATGTGTGAAATCTTTCAGGGATCCAAAATATGTTGAACGATAAGAAGATGTTATTTTTGACTTAGAAACAGTCTTAAATACAACTGTTGCCAATAATGCTAATCAGAAAAAGATAGCTACAGATTTGTTGTTGATAACAGCGGAGAGGTTACACCATTCGATTGGTATAATGCTCGAATCAGTCTTGATTTTAAAGTAAATTTGCTGGCTAATGGACGTAATATTGCATTAGCAGATCATAATGGTATTGTAAATGGGTCTTACTCATTTTTTAAACATTTTGAAATTAAACTCAATGGTAAAAAGGTGTACGATTGTAATGATGCAAATCATGCGGTCAATATTACAAATTTACTTGACTACAGTCTGGCATACGCAGAAAAAACAGCGACTAATGAATTTTTCATTTCTCGATACATCCAGACATGCGGAAGAGCGGGAATTTGAAGTTAGTGGTACAAATCAGTTAGCCAAAAGACGAGCAGCTTCGGAAAGCACTTCTGGGTACCTCATCCACAGTAAACACTGAAATACCTCTGAACAGATATTCATTTTTCGAAATGTTAGAAGATGAGCTGTTGCCCAATACAAGGGTTGAAATAAATTTCGAAATTGAGTCAGATGGTAATCTAATTTGGCAGGCCGGGGCTAATTGCAGGGTGGTTATCACCAGGATGTAATTGTACGTTCCACAGATAACATTTAACAGTGAAGGCCAATCATCCTACATGAGTCAGTATCTTAAAACGCACAATTGGACTTATTTGAGAGAAAATATTGAAAGATCAAACAGTAGCCGGCCGAGAGGTGGAAATTTCAGAATCTCAACTGGTATCTCAAAACCCAGGCACGTTTTTGTGTTTATAATCAATGATGCACACATCCATGCCCAGACGGCTAATCCATTCTTTTATAATGCATTCTCTGTCTCAGCTGACCCAAGGACCTTATCCAATTGTCATCTGGAGGTTGGGAACGGTAACGAATACCCCGAGATACATTACTCACCAACTGCTGATATGACCCGTGTTTACAGGGATGTTCTGAAATATGTTACTAAAGGTAATGAATACAGTGAAGGGTCATTACACAACAGAGCCAATTTTAGTACCCTGTTTCCACTCATATATTTTGATTTAACAAAACAAAAAATGGACATTAAGGACGGCACCACAAAACTGACATTTAAATATGAGCTATCTGGAACAACGGCAACGGCCTACTCTGTTTACTCATTGACTCTCTATGAGCAAGATGTTGAACTAATCCAGGAGGATGGTAAAATAATACTCAGATCATAAATTATGTCACACATATTATATACAAGTAATGACAAAATATTAATCTTATGTAGTGTCACTTAGCAAAGGGCGATTGGAAAAGCTTTCGCGAACTAACATTAATAATTCAGCGATAACAATCAGACTTGCCAGAAATGAATTATCTGGTCCACATGAATTAATGCTCACAAAAACTCAGATCAATAAATTGAAAAAGGCAATGAGTCAGGGTAGAGGGTCGGATATTAAAATATCAAAAACACAAATAAGAAAAGCTGTTAAACACGGGGGTAGTTTGTTTGGATCATGAATGAGTTTAAGAAGTAAGTTGATACCTATGGCCATGCCTCTAGCTAAAAAGGCTGTCGCACCTCTTGTAACTGGTGCTTTATCCGGTTTAGCCAGTCTTGGGGTCGATGAAATATTTGGAAAGGGCCAACGGGGAGGTTTTCTTATTCCACAGGATAAAATAGCGCAGTTGATTGCGTACAAGCATGTAGTATCCGCGGGCCAGAAAAAAGATATTCTTAGTGTTTTCCAACAAGCGGTAAAAAATGGTGTATTCATCAGGAAAAATACAAGAAAGAGATAGTGTCTTGTGCAGTTATTGGTGCTTATATTATCTTTTGGAGAGACGAAAAGGTAGATCATTATTAGATGTTATACATAATACCAAATTCAGTTTCACAGATCAAATGATAAATCACCAATTTCTGATAAACTATTTTAAATTAATGTAATCCTATTATATAAGATGACTGAAACGTTCTGTATATATTGCCAAGTAGTTACTCCGCATTATGTAAATCAATGTGGATGTTTTGAACGCTGCAATTGTGAGCCCTTGAGTGAGAGTGAGTATGAGTCAGATAGCAGCCATGATACTTATGTTCCAGACAGTAGTGATAGTGAGTAGAAGACTAATAAAACACCTCTCTAGGCAACAGCGTAAAACACGCAGATGGTCTGAGACCATCTTTATTACCCCACCAAAAGGCCCCGCCAAAACGGCGGGTCAGGTCCCAGACCATTTTTATATAACATACATATATATTAATGGTGAAATCTTCTTGTGTTAAACAGAAGAACAAACAGAATGTCTAGAGCCCTCGGGCTATAAAACAGCCAAAAATGGTAGACTTATGTTTTGGTGCACTTGCGCTGAATGCGGAATAAAAAAGTTTAAATTTGTAAAGAAGGGAAACTAATTGGGCCCTCTCAAGCCGGGGGCGATTTGTTAGACACAGTTGCAGGAACGGCTACCGATCTATTTGTACATCACGGGCTTCCTTGGATGGGTAAAAAGGTAGTTGAAATGGGAAGATATTATGGCTCAGAGGCGCTCAGAAACCTGAAATTACAGAAAAAAGCCATCGATTACGCTTTGGATAAATTGAGTCCGATGATCCAGAATGTTGGTTCTCAAGCTCTTGACCA